TTCTGCTTACCGGGCAGCTGCGTTCCTTTCACATGAGGAATTTTCTTTCAAAAGAAAATGCAAGAGGAAAGGCAGGAAACGTCCCTAAACTCTAGCCCTAGATGTTGGGACGAGTCCCTGGGATTGCTTTGACACTAAAGAGAAGCGGGCTCCAATGACACTAGTACGGAGGCGGAGTCACCGGAGTCCCAGAAGCGACCAAGTGACTTGGGGCTTTACCTTACAACTTTTCGCCGCGACTCTTAACGGTTATCCATCTCGACCCTCCCTACCTTCCCACGCAATCTTTCGTAGGTCATTCCATTCCGTTCCATTAATTAACTGAACCATTTATTAACAATGAACTCATAATTGTACTCCATTCCTACAACGTGCATACGTCCATAACAGCCAGTCAGTCTCTGCCAGCGTTAAAGCCTCACATTGCTAGTAAACGCGGGCAAAGACTACGGATGTGAAGCAAAAGCAGGGCACACGTTCGATGGATTCCCCTATGGGGGGGTCGTATTTGGCCGCCAAAAAGGGGGGGGGTCGTATTTGGGCTGGGAAAAATTTATTTTTATAGTTGATTTTTCTCGCTTTGCGGACGTTTTGGAGGGGGGGGGTCGTATTTGGTCGTTGTTGGGGCTCGACCAAAATCCCCATCGAATGCTGTGCCCTGAGCAAAAGCTCATAACGACGTGGTGAGGCTAACATGTGGAACCAGAAACGCGTAGGTTATCAGTGGCCATCGCAGATCAACAGAGTAAATTCTTAGGTCCCTTGCCCAGAAAATAGATTCCCTATCGGCTTTGAAAAAGCTTATCGGCAGAAGCTCTGAAGCCATGACGTTGTTGTTTATCATAGTTGTCGATGTAAAGACGCCACGCATTTGCGTCACTTGTTGCATGATTCACACCCACATTCCTTTACTTGTTGTTGATAGGGTGAAGAGAGGGTTCCTTAACGCCCACCGGAATTTCAGAAGTACACGTAAACTAAAATTGAAAATAATCACTCCCCACCGTATCTCTTGGCCCGTTAGCGGCACATTCAATAAGAACTTATAGGAAACAAAGCTCTGTGAAAACACTGCGAGGAGTAAGGAAGGGTGGATGGCAGTGAACACCGCTGTTCCATTTTCGGTTCAGGAAATGGTAACTTAGAGAGCTTTCACGGCATAAGGCTGCTTAATGTAGAAGCTCCCTACGGCTCATGTACCGCGAAATTAAGAACGATAAACAAAGAAAAGAATGAATGTTCTCTCCGTGTTAATAGGTGATGTCCCTAAATCGTTTAAGTACAGATTCGTTGCTTTGTTACGTCTCTTCCAACTGATTTATACTAATCTTGCCTCTCGCTCAGTATCATGTGCGAAAAGGAGAGCCTAATTTTGGTATGTAATTTCGACTCCTATTATTAGGCCGACGATTCAATCGTCATCTACAATGCACCGTTCGCTAGCAAAATGCTGGGGAGGGCACCCCATCGGCGTTCCGACCATGCTTCTGAGAAATGCGACGCCCCCTGATTCCGGCATCGCTCACATACGACCCCTCCTCTCCATGCACCATTTTCCTAAATTTTTTCAACTTCCTACCACTTTTTCCATTTTTTCCCAAAAATTTCTGGTTTTTCAGCCAAGAGTTTTCATTCGAGGGGTGGGGGCGGGGGTATATACCCAGTGTGGAACAGGGAAATTCTTAGATTTTCCGAGAATTTAAGGTTTCACGCAACAGATTTTGCTGCGGGGGGAGGTCGTCAGGATTTAACTATCATTTTCAACTATCGGAAATAGTAGTTGTATAGATCTTTGGCAGTCCCTCTCCCAACAACGACCAAATACGACCCCCCTCCCTCGCGGTCAAATACGACCCCCGTTGTGATCATCACAACGATGGCGTACCCTGATATTGGGGCGTTCCAGAAGGCCGGGTTTGGCACAGCCTCAGCCTGTTCTCCATGTTGAAAAGAAGCAAGCTGCAGCGTTTGGTGGAAAACGGCCTGGCGATGCGCCAAACCCGAGCCTCTCTGATACACGTGCGATACATTTATGTTTCAAACCCACTAGCTACGGATTAAATGTGCCTAACTGACACGTTTACCACATTTCACAGATCAAGTCATCATGGTCCCGAGTCCAAGTCTAGCCAAGCGCTAATGACCATAGGAAAGACGTTTGAAAGAGTCCTTGTGTCAAACCAGTGTTATCGCAATGAAGATAACTTTAGCGAACTTTCACCTTGTCTCAAAGAGAACTGGAGGATAATGATGATGAGCGAACCAATCTAAAAGAGGGTACATTTACCTGGTAATGGTAATCTCGGCAATATGAGCGGCGGAGTAGTGACAAGTGATGCGCTCACCATCGCGCGGTCCTGGGTTCAAATCCCGGGTCGACTCCCGCCCAGGCCAACCAAGCCTTCTACCCTCCGGGGACGGTAAATTGGTACCAGATTCGTCTGGGAGGATAAAACACTGACTTGTACATCGGCTGGCCACAACAAGGGGATTGATCAACGACGAAGACTTCCCACTTTGACGGTAATCTCATGTCTAAACAGAGAATTCTTTGAATGTCTCGCAACGTTATTGGCTCCTTCACCAACTTCTAGAGAACCTCACTTCCTTACCATACTTTTTGCGCAACTTCTCTCCCTATGTCATTATTCCTTCTGCGTGTTCCCGAGTAAATTGTCATTGCTTGTAATATTTCACCTGACAGATCGTACAACCCAATTCTCGGGGCCATTGAGAGACGTGACGAATCTTCTAGATTGTGATACGAAGCCGAACTCTGTGCCGGTGGCTAAGATCGTTAGCTGGCCATAGCCTGTCCTCTTCATCTGCCTTCTCCTTTTGTCTTTCCTAATTTTCCAATGTCCTACTAAACTTCCCACTTACTGAATAAGAATCGCACTGATTGTTATAGGCATGTACGGATGGTGCACAATTTGAATTGTAGGCCAGATGCGTTAAATTCAACTCCTGGAATCTCTCCTTTTTTGCACCAACTTTTGTCATTTAATAATGATTAGGGTGCTTTCAATGGTTTACCACCTCCCTACGTGCTGTTGGTAACGGTTCAAATGTAGTGAATGTTTATCACTCCGATAAGAACATCGATCGCCTCCGTTTTGCCACCATTTTCTCCCACTTCGCCTCAACCTTTCCCCTTTTCGAAAGCTGCCTCTCCTCATGAACTAATAGTGGGAGGAGCATCGAGGTTCATGAAAACGACTGAAATCGCAATTCAAGAGAGCGATTCCGTCAAGTGTGTTTGCCTAGACGGGCGAATCATCGCTGATCGGTGATATTGGCCTTTATCGATTCTGCCAGAGGTTGAGTCATCCCCTCACTCGTCCTATTTGGTTGGTTGGGGTTCCCATCATCAGTGTACGCCTATTTTTCACTGACAGCTGACTCCAACTCACACACCACTCGTGCCGCCCTTATCGTCCAAGAAATCACAACTTTCATCATGCACTCAGTCGTACAGCTGGCTCAATCGCCAATTGCTCATTCGAAATTCTTTGACAATTACTGATTAACCATTGATATATGTTTATGCATAGTTATTCATCAAATCTTCAGTTTTTCATGCCTGGTTGACCGGTTCCATCGTCTTCCATTTGATTAATGCGGATTATGCCGCCCCCAACACTTCCAGTCCTCATGAGACACCGCATAGGCCGCTACATATCTCCACACTTCCGAATGGAAGTGGAATGCATGGCGTACGCAAGGAGGGAACGTTTATTCCTTCTTTATCGACTTATCCATCCGTATTTGTTATTTCTGTTCAAAGATACATTGCCTTCCTTAACTTTTGAATAAAAGTAAAATCCTTGCAATGGTTTAACTACCTTGGAAACTTGGAAACTGGAACCCAGAAAAATCCCTTGGAAACTTTACACCGAAGTTTGGGGCCCGTGTTGGCATGGGTTGAGAGCAATCAAAAAAAACTGCTTGTGCTAAACTGGGACCACGGCGCGGTATTGTGTAAGGAACCCATAACGGGGTCCGTCATTCTGGTGCGCTGTGCGTACAGGTCCAAACTTGGCCCTGAGGTAGCTTTCTTCGATTGCTCTTTTCTCTGGTTTTACACAGGTCCAAATAACTTCCCCCTTTGCTCTGCGGTAACGTTTTGCGAAAATTTGGTAGGTGTATGTTGTGAGAGGGGTTCGCACCGAAAGGAAATACCGTGGGAAAGGGTCACATCGGAGCAGCGCAGCTATGAGATTCGCGAATCTGGACGGGGGTCGTCATTTGGTCTTAGAAAAGTTTTTTGATACGGTACTTTTTACCAAACAGGACCACGCCCCAGACGGGGAGATTATTTGCTCGTTGCTGGGAGAGAAAAGGGAGGGGTCGCGTTTGCCTTCCGAGAGAAATTGCGGCGTTGGAAAAAAGATTTTCCTTTTTGTTAACTTTTCGCGTTTCATGAGCCATCTTTTCAAGCGTCACAAGCCATCTTTCAGTGGAGAGGGGGTGGCACGGATTCGACCAAGATCCCAATCTCATCATGTGCCCTGTATCGGAGGAGAAAATTTGCGGGGGGCGGGGTCGTACCAACACCGCCATTTAACCCATCCCAATGCTGCACCCCTAATCGAGTTATCCTTACGTAAATACCGGCCTATCCGCATCCTCGCACAAAAATATGGTAGAGGCAGCTTAGAGCTCTTTCTGTCGTGGGTACAGGCAATAATCTTCATCTCCATTACGGCAATCCGAAGTTTTCCAGAACTGGTTAACTGGATTGCCCTGAAACTTTTGTACGAACAGTGGGCGCACCAGTGCTTTGCGTCATTGACTCAAAGCACGGAACAAGTTTGGAAAGAGAAAAATGTAACTCGACATTTTTCGCGCATCGATAGCTCTCATTGTCAGATCACTCCCTCTTCCTCCGTCGAATGCTGCGTTTTGTCATTTGTTCGTATTCCTGTCCTTTACAACACAAGCCATAAAATCTTTCAGCTATCTATACGTTTTCTGCTTCCGGAACTACTAATCAGATAATGGAGGAGAGCACCAACGTCGCTCAAGGTTTGTCACTTTCTGCTCGTTTTGATTTTGGTCCTTTTAATTGTGGACTCAAAACCCCTTGGCAGGTTATCTGGAGCAGCTAGCTTATGCATATAGCATATAGCTCTGATAGCAATTCTTTTCGAGAAGTAACGCAGTTGAATGGTCGAAGGTGTAGGCTCGGGTTGGTAGAGGCAAGTAAACATAATACATTGGGAATAAACTCAGCAATTTCTTCCGTGTATATGGTGATCAAATCCGCAACTGCACCTCACAGGCATGTACATGAGTACGCCTCCAAATGACGCTCTGAAAACATTGCAGATTATGGCAAGCCCACAGTTGACTATGCAGTGTAGACGTGTAGTCTTCTTCCCCTCCACCAATTGTGGAGAGTGGCAAGCGACCGAAAATCGTGGAAAACAAGCTGGCGCCCCTGACACGCCCCAGCATCTGCAGCGAATAGAACGGCATGAACGCACTATCTGGTGAACGAGGGGTGGGTTGGGCATTCGATCAACTCGAGTCAACTATCATAAATAATGAAATTCGTGATCCAGTAACTATGGCTGTTGTGGCCTAAACCCAGCTTCCCCTCCCTCTCTCTCCGACATACACCAGCATACCGCAGTAACAAGAATGTATATCTGCCCAGATAGGAACCCGAGTACCAACTGCCAGTGTCGAACGAAAATCGGCGGGGTCTCACTCGTTAGTGTTCCATGTGAAAGGTTTTCGAAGTGTTTCTTTAAATCAACCGCTACCTTATTGCAAAACGCGTTCAGCCCCTGTATTATGACTTTAATTGAAAAAATATTGGCAGTACATAATCGTTCCAGCGATCCCACTGGAACTGTACAAAACTGAACAACAAAGAGTATCGAGTAGTAGAACTGGTTGTTTAGGTGACCTTGAACGGGTAGTTTTGTAGCTCGATAAGTTGAAAAGTGGTGCTGCGTAGTGCTACCTGCAAATGCAGTGGAACTAGGTATGCTCTTAAAAAAACCCAGGGACGCTTGGGTGCTTACAAAATGAGTCCAAGGGCAATAACCTCGTAGATAGGCTACGCCTAACTTCATTGAAAACGGAAAACCTGCCCGAACGGCTGAACATCAGATCCCGAGACAGAGCCGTCGCAGGGGCTGAGTCCATGACATTCGAGCCGCGGTATCGCTCTCAAGCTGATGGAGCATTTCCTAGCTGGACGGCTTGACGAATTAAAGCATTGCCACATTGAGGGAGTTGGGTCCTGATGGGAATTATCCCATTTGTGCCGTCTCTTTCACTGCCCTTGCCTCGTCCCGCATGTACTGAGATAGGATCGAGCCGGCTGTGGGTGAAGTTCGTGGCCTTCGAGGGGCGACATCACGCGTGAACGAGCTAGTATAACTGGTTGATTTAACACAGCAGTTTTGTGCGAAATAAAGTGGTGGACTGCGTTCCCTATCGCATATATGACGGCCATATCACCATGTAAGTTGCCATGTCACATTCGAATTGACGCTTAAATGTTATGGTTGTTATCGAATCCACAAGATAGGAGTGCTGGTTTGACTGCACCTCGGATGTCCTGAAATACACTTATGGGCTGCTCGCGCTGTGCCTCGACCACCCCATGCTCATGTCATGAAGAACTTTCAGCTAGCTTGGTAAACACAGCTATTCAGCAGCAAACATTGTTCCAACATGTTTTCAGTAACGCAACGCCTACGCGAGATTGAGGACCACAACATCGCTCTTCGTTTGCAGGAAGAAGAATTCATGAGGTGCGAAATCTCTTCCGTGAGAATGAATTTAGCTCAGTGGCCATGAATTTCGCATCTGAAAAAGTAGCTCACAGATGATATTTTCTGATTTAATCCGGCAACGGCGCAAATTGAAGGCCAGTTGGGCGACGATAAATTCCAAGGTTGACTAGGATCAATACTCCTGGAGAGATAGATATTCTGCGACCGAGCTGCAGGCCGCTGCAATAGCGGGGTCGCCGGTCGAGGAGAGGTGAGGCTGGGCGGTTATAAGGGCCTATCAAGCCACGGAGACTTGCACGTCCCAACGTGGTCCGTCAAGCCCAGCAAATGAAGAGCGCTTCGTGACGCCTCGTCATTCACATATTTGGCTAAGCCAATATTATTGAAGCGAAGGAAATTGTATGAAGCGGTGCCGTGATGCTGCATGCGAATATGTACATGGGTAGCACATATGCAGGTTCGGTAGCGGTCTTTGGGTAAAGAATGCGCACGGCGAAACATCGTTCCGAATATCGATTTACGAGTGAGAACGGAGGCTTATTCTTCGCAAGGATTTTGACCGTTCCACTCTGTTCTTTCGCCATTTTCCCCACTATACAGCGCCCTACTAGCATTTTAGTAAGTAGGAAACCATCGTGCCAACTGCCTTTAAGGGCTTCATGTTCGCGGTGCGCTTCCTGGAGACTAAACCTCAAGGCGCCTAAAGAGGATTCCATCTTTTGTTCTATCTGGACCTCATCAAAGGATTTGAAAAGCCCTATTTTGCTTTGGCTCCAACTTGAAGCCCATTAAGTCACCCACATCCACCTTCCATTTGAATGACATTTGAGCCGCATACAAAAGGAACTGAACGACGTCGACCGACTTTCATTCTACAAATGCGCTAAGCTGGCAGATAAAAGATCGTTTTTGAGGTGGTCGTGAGTAGTACTAGTATGAAAGGGCTAGTATTTTTTTCAGGCATTACAATCGGAATCGAGAAGATCGACGCCTCGTCGGCGATGACACGAAGCGATCCATCAGAGAACAGTTGAACGAGGACGAAGCTGCTAGGATGAGAAGGCTCGAAGCCAATAAAAAAATGTACTTTTCTGTTCTTCTCTTTTTGCGCTGATCGTCACAGTGTAGCACAAATGTTGAGTAAGCGAGAAGCGACGAGCGATAACTGAACTAACTTCCGTGACTACCAGGAGGGTGCGCCAAAGTGAACGAGAAGTTCGTTTTATGGGGATGTTCCACCTTATGCTATTATGTGCTGAAAGGGTTTCATGAAATTGAATGGGAAGATGTGAAAGTAGCTGAAAATGATGGTC